GTCCTCACTATCCTCTATCCCTCAAATCTTGTTCGTCTTCTTTTTCTTCACTAACTCGCAAGGACCTGTCACATTTGGAACCTGCTCTAATTTAGAACCTAGAACCCCAATACTGGAGTATTAAAATCCGTGAAGCCAAAATACTCCTTGTGATTTAAGAATGAAGATTGCGCTTTTGCATTTGTGCGAACAATGACTGGTGAAACAGTTCGATCTCTAAACAAGGAAAGGCGAAGGCAACAAGAAGAACACGAAGCGATTGGCCGCAGATTTTGAGGATTTCAAAAACTCTGAAACAGTTTCGTCTCTTGGCATCCCAAGCTTTCCAAAAAAAACCGTCCAGATTCTATTCCTTTTTTTCGCTCCTTTTCTTGTTTCGTTTTTATTTTCCTTCAAATTTCCTTTTTCAAATTTGTGAAGATTTCCTAATTTGATGATGATCATGTTGAGAATGGATCTCGATTTTCTTGCTTAATTTATGAAGATTTCCTAATTCTGGAAATGATGCACGCACTCTTGCAATATACACATGTCAATGCAGGAACTGTTCTACTCATGATCTTCCTCCTTTGGATCCAGCAACTCAAAATCTAGATATAGGCAAGGCTCTATTTTGGGAAACCCGTACTCACTGGAGTGCAGGTGACATGAGCAGGAGCCTGCGCACAGACCCAGACGTGCGCATGGGGGGAAGCAAGGTTATTGGAGGCAGAGACCTTGGAGTCGTAGAGGAAGGCGGAGTTGGCACGGCAGAAGAGGGTGGCGGTGGCTGACTTGCAAGAGGCACGGAATTTTTAATATCAGATACAAAAACACGCATCTAACCAGCGCCTTGGCTATCCCAAACCAGGGCTTCAATACCCTAAACAGTGCGTTCCTCATTTTTACCAGGCGCAGACTTGGAACAATCGTGCTTTTATGAGTCGGAGCTTTCCCAAGGTCAAGTGGCTTGGGTGTTGGTTGAAGGTTATTTAGTGGAGCATGCGAGGGAGATTGACAAGCATCAACGACATCAAGCATGGAGATGGTATGAATGTGTTTTAACAAAAGAAAAATAAGAAAAGAAAAGAAATGTGCTTTAACAAATTAAAAAAAAAAGTGCCACATAGATTGCCAACTAAGCATTGCCCGGGATTTGTTAAAATTGGGCAACATTATACATTTCCTTACTTTAAGATACCTGGCCTTGGGTGATATTTTAGGAATAAATTTGCACCTTTAATTTAAACAATATAAAAAATAAACTCTTCATTATAAATATATATTGTAATAGTCAAATTTGGATTTTTAGTCAAATATTGCGCTTGGCATGGAAGATACGAATGGTTCGAAACTTTTAATATTATTTCTATAGAAAATAAGGGCGTTGAAAAAACAGAAAAAACTAGAGAATATTTGGGGCTATCATGATCAAAGGATTTAGATATGAGAGAAACAGTAATGAATCTAGGAATTAATGAATAGGAGAAAATGAAAAATAAAATATGAAGTGAGGGCCAAAATCTATTTTAATATTTTTTTTATAATTAACAATTTTATTATTTTAAAAGAATTATTGAAAGGCATCGTGGGGATTTGTTCCTTATGTGAGAATGAGGCCAATCCAACTTCATATATCATACAAATAGACCTGGATTTGATCCAACAAAAATTAAAAAAAATATTAATCATTTAGTCTTTGTAATTTTAATTTTAACTCACTCTAACCATTAAGCCAGCTCATTTGATGGTTATGGTAAATCTCTACAAGTAAATTGTTGAAATATCCCCCCCTCCCCCTAAATCTTTCACAAGAAGGTTTAATACATCCAAGGAATCAGTGAACAGCTGGACTTTCGAATGGCCCAACCTTTGACAAACTTGAAGACATGATCTTATCACCCACAGTTGATACCCTAGAAGCCATTCTCCTCGATAATTCCGTATGACACTGCCACATGCTGCTAGCTTCTCGTTTGTGACTGGGCCCCGTCCACATCAATTCTGATGTACTAGGTGGTGGAGGTTGCCATCTTGCTCCATCTCTGGTCGTTTCTTGTGATAGGCAGCTCTAAATTTGCTCACTCACAAACTTGAAGCAAAGCTTAGCTTGCTGGAAACATTCTTTTGGAGTAGTTTGAATTTTTTGGAAAATTTTCTTGTATCTGCACAACCAAAAGTGACTGGCAGACTTGGGAAAACAGATTTTTCCGAGACCATTGTTGGAATTTGTTCCTGCTTGGATTATGCCTCGTATTCCAATGAAGCCAAACCTGTAAATCACCAGAAAGGAAACTAGACAGATATATGGGGTTAATAAAATAGGAACATACTTCTCTAGCAAAAGAGCAATCACGCAGTATGTGTATAGTGTTTCCTCACAAAGACACTTACAGTAGCACTCAGTATTTGAGGTAAAATATCTTTTGGCTGTGAGAGAATCCGCGGGTTATCTATCCAGGGAGATTGTTTCCGGGTATAGACCCCTTCCAAAAGCTATTCCATACTTTGCCTCTAGACCTTAGAATTTGTTGGCACAAGAATTCGTATACTGCTTTTATCAGAAAATTGACCATCTTTAGAGTTTTTCCAGCACCAAAGATCTTCAGCCTGTTGATTCGGGGGTTTAATTTTCAGTATATTTTGGACAACCCAGTGAGGCGTCAAGTGTTGGAGAAGATTAACATTCCATCTACCATCGGGACTTGTCATAGCCTTGACTATAGCCTTGGTGTTAAAAACCTTGATGTTGCTATGAACATTCTGCATAAGTGGTCCATCAAGATTTGTCCGCGAGTCCCACCAGAAGAGGGTATTATCGCCACTTACCAATTTCTTGCCAACACCAGTCAAGAACTGTCAATGCTTTTACTAAATCTCCTCCGCACTAGATCCAAGACCTATAAATTTATAAGATGATACATGCACAGTACATGAACACCCAACTCAATCTTGATTTGAAGGTGTCACAACCACCGCAAAATAACGTATTTAAAATTTGTTATACCACAGGCCCAAGAAAAATATATGGTTTATGGACACACGATAGACAAGTATTTGTAGGTTAGGGGGAGTAACAACAAAATAAATAATACGTTTCTTTCATCAGATTTGTTGTTAAGGGGAGTAACAACAAAATTACAGAGCTTCATATTTAAGGTGAAGGGCAATTCCCTCTCCTAAATTTCAATACAATTTTTCTATATATCTTACCTGAAATTTAATTTAAAAATTTAAAAAATCAGGAGACATCAAGTGATATCATATTTAAACAGAAAATATAAACTAATCGATAGAGAATTTAGGAGAATTAACCAGGTCCCCGTTTAATCAAAAAAGAATATTTTTTGTGAGATCAAAACTGAATGATACGAAGATTTTGATTCATTACAAATGAAGAATTAAATAAAAACATAAATAAATTATTTATCTAAAATAAATTTTATAAAATAATGATTAAACAATTCAAATTAAGCATGAGTGTATTAGATAAATTGAATAATTACTTTTAATGAATCAACGAATGAATATTATAGCTAATTACTGTTGAAATAAAAAATCAAAATAAATAGTTTATCTAAAGTAAAATTTATTGTAATGTAAGATACTATTGAGGGAGGGTGGGAGGAAAAGGGAGAAAACTAATTAAAAATGGCACACAATTATGAAGAATTATTAAAGATGAAATGGCATAACAAACAATTTCAGGTCAATTAAATAAGATTGTTATTACCCAAACAAACACTTTAATAAGAACAGTCATACAATTAATGAAAAATAATATGTTCATGTTTAAATAGAAAATCTAAACTAATCTGATTAAAAGAAGAATGCTTGGATGTAAAATTAATTTGTGAACTATATTGTTAATATCTTGTTATTTAAATAATTAAAATATTTTGAAATGCACAATTAAAGTTGTATTATTAATTTATACAATCTTATTTACAGTGGTATCTTAATAGTTCAGTCAATTTTACCTATTTCATCCCTTGGTAATGCATGCGTTTATATTCTTTTCTTTCATAACATTTACATTTGTTTCAATATCATAAACAATGAACAATAATGATATTTGTCACTATTGCATTTACGTTATTGTATTTTGAATAGGATTGCCTCCCATGAAAAGATACATGTAAGTAATAAAAAAAAATAAAATTCAAAATAACCATTTCAAAAATTGTTAGTCACACATATTATGTAAAAGATAAAAGAAAATACTATTTTTATTGAAAAAGCAAAAGTTACTTTATTGAAAAAAAATTCTCAAGATAGTATTACTATAATCCTGGATTGGTTTGCCGACCTTCTTAAAGATGGCAACTAAAATCGTAAGTGCTGGAAAATAATAGGTTCTTTTATATATAAGTGTGTGTGTGTGTGTGTGTGTGTGTAATTTTTATTATCAATTTAAAGGAAATTAATTGAAAAAAGTCGATACAGAATATTTGCTGTGAGATCAAAACAGAATGATTTGAAGATTGTTATCCGTTACAGAAGAATTATTAAATAAAACAACAATATATTTTTTTAACTAAGATAAAAGCTTTTCAAATAATGATAAAATAATTCAAATTATATATAAGTAGGTTAGATAAATTAAATAATTATTTTTAATGAATCAAGAGAACGGATATTATAGTTAAATAAGAAATTGAAATGAATAGTTTCTGTATAATGAAATTTATTTTAATATATGAGGTATGATATGCATGGAAGGAATTAGAAGTGAAAACCAAAAAAAAAAAATTCTACTAATTTCAACGGCTAATTTGGCAAAGAATATGCTGGTAGAATATGTCTGACTTTGTTACTTATAAGTGCTCACCCTCAACTCCCCATATAGATTTGCGGATTCGTTTTCTTGCCTCTTTAGCTCTCAGGTTGCGGATTCAAGGCAATACTGTTTATTTGTATTTATACGAGCTTAGCATTTCATCGTTATTTCATTTTTATAATGGCCAGAAGCCACTTTGATTCTAGATCAGTGTTTAAATGTGTGCAAATGCAAACGGTCACTCAGCTTTAACGTTCCCTTAATTGCAGTATTCTACGTACTTGTCAAATTCGAGGGGGAAATCTCATAATTATGAAAATCTATTGAATAGGTTTCGGTTCAACTTGTGCAGTGAATGTCAACCGTTCCAAGGAGCGACCGGGAAATATAGCAAATCATGGGGAAGGGACAAATCCAAGTGTTGAATGCGCTTGATGTGGCCAAAACACAATGGTATCATTTTACTGCAATCATCATAGCAGGCATGGGGTTCGTCACAGACGCATATGACCTGTTCGCGATTTCCCTCGTCACCAAGTTGATCGGTCGTGTTTATTACGCCGGAGATGAGGAGAAACCTGGTACGTTGCCTCCCCACGTATCGTCCGCCATTAATGGCGTAGCCTTCTGCGGAACACTTACTGGCCAGCTCTTCTTTGGCTGGATGGGAGACAAGGTGGGACGAAGAGCCGTATACGGGATAACTCTGTTGCTGATGATCCTGTGTTCTATTTGCTCGGGCCTTTCCTTTGGACACACCTCTAAATCTGTCATCACTACTCTCTGCTTTTTCCGCTTCTGGCTTGGCTTTGGTATTGGTGGAGACTACCCACTTTCTGCCACCATCATGTCTGAGTATTCCAGCAAGAAGACTCGTGGCGCTTTCATTTCTGCAGTTTTTGCTATGCAGGGTTTTGGGATTTTGGCTGGTGGCTTGTTTGCAATGATCGTTTCCGCTATTTTCAAGTCCAGCTTCAAAGCTCCTCCCTACGAGGTCGATCCAGTTGGGTCAACAGTTCCACAAGCAGACTTCGTTTGGAGGATAGTTCTAATGGCGGGATCAGTCCCGGCTGCAATGACTTTCTACTGGAGGCTGAAGATGCCTGAAACTGCTCGTTACACTGCTCTTGTTGCCAAGAACGCTGAGAGAGCAGCAGCTGATATGGCCAAGGTTTTGCAGGTGGACGTTGAAGCTGATCTCAAGAAAGCCGAGAAGAAGACCCCTCAGCCGAAGGCCAAGAGATTTGGATTGTTCTCCAAGGAGTTTCTGACTCGGCATGGCCTTCACTTGCTAGGAACATCGAGTACCTGGTTCTTGCTCGACATCGCTTATTACAGCCAAAATCTATTTCAGAAAGACATATTCAGTGCAATTGGATGGATTCCTCCTGCGAAAACCATGAATGCCCTTGAGGAGCTTTACAGCATTGCCAAGGCTCAAACGCTTATTGCTCTATTCAGTACGATTCCAGGCTACTGGTTCACTGTGGCTTTGATTGACAAAATAGGAAGATTCAAAATTCAATTGATGGGGTTCTTCTTTATGACCGTGTTTATGCTTGCTCTGGCCATTCCTTACCATCACTGGACTCTCAAGCACAACCATGTTGGATTCGTGGTCTTGTACGCCTTGACATTCTTCTTCTCCAATTTCGGACCTAATGCCACAACATTCGTAGTGCCAGCAGAGATTTTCCCAGCCAGGTTCAGATCAACGTGTCATGGCATATCATCAGCGTCTGGGAAACTAGGGGCTATAGTTGGCGCATTTGGGTTCTTGGCTCTGTCCCAGAGTCAGGATCCCAGCAAAGTAGATGCAGGGTACCGTCCAGGTATTGGGGTGAAGAATTCATTGCTCGTGCTGGGGGCCATTAATGCTTTAGGCTTCGCTCTCACATTCTTGGTGCCTGAGCCGAAGGGGAGATCCTTGGAGGAGATATCCGGGGAGGATGACGAGGAAGACGAAAGCAACAAGGGAGAGGCAGAGCTAACGCAATAAAACACGTAGAATTGATGTTTTGTGCGTATTTGGGCAAGGAGTTCGTGATGTTTTGTACGTATTTGCTTCGTGGCACTAGTCCACTTGAAGTTTATTACATAAATAATCTGATTATGATCATATTCTGGTCTTCTCGTCAACTTTTAAGGTGCATTTGGAGACTTGTGATCCTTGGGTAAAGTACGCAAACATCCTATGGGAATGGGCCGGGAAAGTTTAATTTGGTTTGACATTTTCAACCTCAAATCTCTTCATTGTCATTTAAACCCCAACCATCTTATCAATTAATGTGCATGATTGTATACTAAGTTAATAACTCTAAGGTAACGATATTTTCTTTTTTTTTTTTTAAAAAGTAATTATACGTTGAAGCTGAGCAAATAATTTGAAGCAATATATGTGTTCAAAGTTCTCCAAGTCGACCTCGAAGCTGAACCGCAAAAAAGCAAACGCCAGTGGCTGAAAGTAACGAGATTGTAATAAACATGGATTTGGTTTCTAAAGAGTTTGTTTATCGCCATGGAGTTCACTTACTAGGAACAACTAGCACTTGGTCCCTGCTTGACATTGCGTTTTACAATCAATAATTCTGTTCCAAAACAACACGTGATATCTGTATTCAATGACTCTTTTCGCCAGTTTCGAACGCTACAACATATTTGTGGCGCCTGGCTGCCTGCTGAGATATTTCCTGCAAGATTCTGGTTACTTATCATGGGATATCTTCAGCGTCGGAGAAGCTTGGAGCTATGGTGGGTGCGTTTGGTTTTCTATACCTGGCAGTGAACCAAGATGCCGCCAAAACAGATGCAGGTTCATTTTGGGGTTCTTCCGCTTCATGGTGCCTGATCCAGAGGTGAATCTCTGGAGTTATTATATGCCGAGAACGAGGAATTGCAAGAGGAAGCATCCTTCAGAGCTTGATCGAAGACCCTTGTGCTTTTGTTTCCCCCTTATCAGGCCTTTCTATATAGGTGTGAACCTGGGCAGAATCTTTAAGAACCAATGTAGTCGTCTAGACGAAGCTTGTTTTTTTGCCTGGTTTTGTACCGTCATCTCTCTCTTTATCTCTCTCTCTGTTTTTTCCCAAGAAGAAAAGTCAATTAATATATACATATAGCGTTTTCAAGGGGATCTTGGTCATGAGAGGTAATAAAGTACCATATTTTCACTATCTAATCAAGCCGTACTAATTAAATTCCATGCCCACGGGCTCATGTTCAGAACCACCAAGGAATGTATATATAGATTTTATAGCAAGAGATAAGCCCAAATTCATTAGCCACGACAGAGATTCACTTAATGATAACATCTTTTTGGGGCATGGCTCATGGGGAACCATGTTATAGTAGATAACTAGTGCGAGCTAGTGCATAGACTTGTGTCAACTACAATTAAAATCAAGATATATAAAAGAGAGAACCAGCGCATAGGCATGTGTCAATTAATGTGCACGTTCTCTGAGAACTTCAAGATCCATTTCTGAGGGATCAGTCGCCTGGATTTCGTAGTGCACACCGTCTAGCTCCCTCCTCAACCTGTCTTTCGACGTGGCATAAAGCATCTTGGCACGGATTCGAGCGGTTGAAGGCGACCTAATTAATTATCAATGTACGATAGAGTTACATGCCGGGATCATACAAAAAATATAGGATGAAATGAACTCAAGGGGTATATATATACGTATATGTTTTCTGATCAGCAGCAAACTAACCATGCAATGAAGAAGATTTTACTTTTTCGACAGTTCTCTGAAGTGACGAAATCAAAGTCATACACAGCATATCTGCAATCATTCTCTGGCAGTGATGCAGTAAAATCGTCATATGTCTCAGCTGGACCGCCGGTTTTCTCCACCAACACCTCCCTCCTCTTCTCATCGATCTTGAAGATTACGTATCGGTGCACTTTCTTTTGCTTCAGTTCCATGAAGCTACTTTTGCTGTGATCAGCCACTCCCATGCCTGACGAAGCATTCGGCTGATAACCAAGTTTATTTTGTGTCAAAAAGCCTGATTTTTAATCGTAATTAATTTGTTTCTATTAAGCCAAGAAAACACCAGTATTCTTATAGTACAGACACGAAAATCTTACCCGGCCGAGACCTCTGAAAGACATGGTAGCCGTTGCAAAAGAGATTGGAGGAAAAGAGGAGCGAACTTGGAATTTAAGATATACAGTGGAAGAAGATAAATAATACGTGAGAGGCAACAGATGGCTGTTGAAGTGAGGTGGCCGATCTCTGCACGAAATGACAAAGAATATTGAAATAAGAGAGTCAAGGCATGCATTCAACTTGGCATAAAAGGAGCAGAAACGAATCAGAACCCAAACTGGACATAGAGTCAAACATGTCTAAATTTATCATTTTCTTTTTCATGAGGCGGAGAAAAATAGGCAACTTTGTTTCTTTCTTTCTCCCTTTTCTCTGATCGCAGAAATATAAAACAGAAAAAATTACATAAAGAAAGAGGAAAAAGATTCCAATCTTGTGAGGTACTCATCAGAAAGTGGAAAAGCAGGGGAGGTGCGTGGGAGCAACGCTAACTGAATCCAAGAATGGGACCATGATTCTGATTCTGATTCTGATTTCCGTTCCCTGTCTGTATTTCTTACACTTTCTTTAATTTACTTGTTTCCCTTCCTTAATTTTATTCATTCAAACCTGCGTCATTACTTGATGAAGCTATCTTCATTTTCATTCTCGACGTCCTGAAATTCCTTACCCAATCCAACAACTAAGTGAAAAGCTTAGCCTATTTACTAAACTTAAACTAGGTTGAAGCCTTTACTTAAATTTATTTAATTAAATAGGCTAAATCTATTTTTACAGTACCTAATTACGGGCTTAACAAGCTAGTTTATTTACATATATTATTAATATTATATAATATTTTATATTTATATCTATGTATAACATGTAATATATATAACATTATATGTATTATTTAATTTAGTGACAAAGAAATAATCGACTCCTTTCTTTTCCTTTTTGGGCCACCTTCTTCTTGTTTTTTATTTGAATCGAAACTCAAAATCACTAAGCATGTTATTTCTTATGCTTTTTTAATAGCTTTTGCATGATAAATTGATGGTATATAAGTTTGATCATTTATGTTTAATCAAATTTTTTTTTCTTTTGGATTTCAGTTTGTTGGTCATGTTTTCAATCATACTATAGACATATACATTGATTTTTAATCAAGATGGTGTCAAGAATTTTGTTTACGGACTGTTTATGGAAGCCCATTGTCACGGATGATATCTCTGTGACCGTGTAAAGATCAAGATAATGAACGATCCGCTGGTTAGCCTCGCACAATATGGGTAAAGGGGGCGACATTAGCATTGGGTGTGTTCTGCCTCAGTCTTCGGACTGAGTGCACAACTGGTCGGGGGCTAGTGCCGCCTCCCTGATGAGCCTATGGCAGGGCGAAACCAATGTGATCCGTATGTGGTAAGGCTTGTCCTGAGGATTATGGGGTCCTCCAGGACGCCGCACGGGCGCTGTGTGCTGCGCCAGACTCTCAGCCCGTGACACCATGCTCTTCAAAACAACCCCGGAGCGAGGATCTGAAGAATAACAAGGCAGTATTCCGAGTAGCTTCATAAATGCTGATATGGCAAACCCAACACAACTCGGTAGATTGGGTTGGGCCGGGTAAAAATACCTCTTTCTTTCTTTGTTTTCTTTTCCTTTTGTGAAAGGGAGAGCCGTGATAAATTGATAATTAGTACTGTATTACTATATGTTTGAATTACTTGCTCCATCATAAATATAAGTTACATCGAGAGTTTTGGTTTGATTCTAAATATAAATTTTTATTTTTTTTCCTTTTTCATAATACCTATATTTATTGTGATATTTTTATTTTATGCGAATTGAGGATAGTTTTGAAAATTTGTCACAAATTTTCCACACATTGGATTTAATTTTTCCCTTCGCAAGTGATATACCGACAAACACTACTGATATTTTATGAATTAACAGTAAAATTGTTATGTTGGGTAGATAGGTTATCCTATCCAGGAATTAGTGAATTATTGGCTATAGGTACACATTGGATTTTTTTCCCCCGGCGATTGACTTCCCAACAAACATTGCTGATATTTTATGAATTTACATTATTTTGAAATTATTAAAATTGACTTCATATGATTAATGAATCCTCTCTGTGTATCATAATTAATGTGAGCGGTACCCTAACTAAACACAATTGTGTAGTACTTTTTAACGGGACATGTGCTTGACAGCTACCACTGTGCAAGGAGAGTCGCCGTTTTACAACGAAAAGTGCCTCTCTTAAGATTTTTAAGACTTGTATTGGCATTGATGGATGATATATTTAATTGTTTATGAATAATTACATTACTGTTTCAAAATTTAATTATACTTAATTACTTTTAGGTTTATGTATGCAGGGTACTGTTCCGGTCTTAATATGAGATGAAACTAGCAAACTTTGCACTTGTTAAGAAAAGCTAGTATGACATTGAAATTAAAAAATTTGTAACTTTCTGATTTTACTCTTGTTTAAAAGTAATTAAAATTCAAATGACAATAAATAAATAAGTAAATAAGGAGTAAACTGAAAAAAAAATAATTATTCTAATTTCGTTTTATAGTTAGGATTAAAAAAATTCGAACTTCATCTCGTATTAAAAATTATAAGGGATATATTTTTTTTTAATTTAAAAATCATACGTAGTCGTCCTCTGTTTGCGTAGCTAATTAGCTAGTTTTTTTTTTAGCGAAAAAGTTAATATCTTCCACAACATTAATTTGTAATTTTATTCTTAACATAAAAATAAATTAATTATCAAGCATATACTTTCTCATTTTGAAATATAAGTCACTTTTTCCTTACTAATCTTGGTGTAAAATACATCAAGTTTAGTACTTTAAGAAATTATTTTTCTCATCTTGCTATTGCATTTATCAACCTAGTTTATTGTGTATCGTGAGAATTTATCACTTCCTTCTCACGTCATTGGCCAGTTATACAAGGATCATTCTAACTTTTTCAAACGGCAACTCTCATTAAAAAACTTGCTGACATGAATACTCTCCTTCTAGTTTAATTTATCACTGGTACTTGAGGTCAAGGGTAAAAAAAAGAAAACTATAAACATAACTAAATTTTATTGATACATGGATTATAATTAAAAATTGCTTATAATTTGAATATGAGTATATGCTACTGTTTGTGAAAATGGAGGAAAGTCAACCTAAATGTTTATGGTCACAAAAAACGGCACTGAAAGCAACATGCTAAGGTTCTACCTTGGCACGAGAAATTCTTAGGCAAATCGTACAAGTCACGTTATTTGTAGTATGTTTAATTAAAGTATTATAAGTCATTTAAATAAAATCTCATGTCAAATTATCTTACTTAATTGTATTTTTATAGAATAATGTATATGTAATTTCTTACTTTTTCTCTCTCTCTCTACCATAATTAATGTCAAAATTAATTTATATTTAATGTCATTTGAATATCATATTTTTATTGAACAAATTATAAATGAGTAGCATACCCAATCTACTTAAAAATTCCTCCCTTGATATTGTCTAGAGCTTATAATTCGAGCAAGTTGAGCTTATTTGAGCTCAACGATTAGCTCAAATGGTCAAGCTCGACTCGAATGCATGAATTATCAATTTTTTTAATTTTTAAATTTAATTTTTTACTTTTAAGCTAATTTATTTTTATTTTATAAAAATAAAAAAATATATTTTTTGGGATGCTTAAATGATGTAGAAGACTCAAACTTGTTTTAAAAAAATATGCATGTCTTAAAATTAAAAAATAATATACTTTAAATATTATTTTGAGATATTTTATAAATTACAAATAATAAAAATATAACAGTATCAGTATTTTTAATTTGTTTAAAAAATATCCCTAATATTGTACTCAAATATATAACATATTAGCATAAAATGACCTAAAAATTTAAAAATCATTCATACTTAATATATTTTATATATTTGTTAAAATGATTTTTTTCATCCAGATATTTATCAGGTTTGATCTTATTTTTTTCAGTACCCAAATATTAAAAAAGAATAATTTTATTAAATCTGATTTTAAATTTTTTAAAATTTTATTTAAATTTAATTTAAATTATCAGCTTTATACATTGGATGGTGTTTAGGGCATCTCTGGTGGACAATTGATACTGAAACTATGCTTAAGTTGATGATTGGGGCAATGGGCACGGTCAGTTGGTAGGGGTAGGTAGATGGACCCTACATGAGATGATGCGCCATGTCGTATCGTAATTAAGTAAAACAGGACCAAGTTGGTTTATGCCCAATCATTTCAAATTAACCAGGAAAGATTGATCGATTTTCTTTGATTAGTGGCACGTGTATTGACTGTAGTACTCCCTCCCCTATTAAATAGAAGGTCGATGCATTAGAGGATTTTGGCAATAGAGGTGCTAGTTAGTACGTAGACATGAATTTTGATAGATTGAGATTAGAATTGATATTAAATTTAATATTAAGATTTTAAAAATATATTTAGTATGAAGTAATATTTGAATAAATACTTGTATTAATTTTTTTATAATTCATCAAGAATAATTCCAAATACTATAATGCCTCTTAGTATTAACAAAAAAGAACTGCACAATCAAAAATGAAGATGAACAATTGCACGGTTTAGGGGAGAAAAAGATTTTATTGAACTCCTCCATTTCTCTTTCTAATATTTTCATAGCTTCATTTCACAATTCGATGCAAGATCAAACTTCTCAAGCTCTACAATTTGGATCGGAGCTAATTCTTAAGGAGATAAATAATACGGTGAAGCTTCTTGATGGTGAATGTGGGAACAAGAGGAGAAGGTAAAAGAGAAGGAAGGATAAAGTTTCGACCAAAGCCACATGTGCTATCACCCATTATAGGAACCTGAAACCCTCAAGCTTTAACCTCATCATATATGTGAGCATTATTGCAACTTTGCCTCTCGTTGCCTCATTTGATTGCCCATACGCTTAAGTGCAAATAGATTGAGGTGCAAGGGAGATAGTATTTGCATGGATGGGAGATGGGGATTGAATGTTACCATCAGTAGAAGGTGGCGTCACCTACAAGGGCACAGCATCATCGTTAACAATAGAGATGGAGACTTCAGACCATTAGATGAGGGAGGGGCATAGAGTGAAGGGCAATTTGGTTTGCAACTTTTCAATTCTGGAATTGATTTTACAATACTAAGGAGAAGTGGTATTGGGTATTTCCACCTAGACGAGATTGAGTTTGGGAATAAATTTGCCATTCCTACTCACCAAATATAAAAATTTGGTATTACCCAATCCCACTTACTCAGTCTCACATACTAAATGCACCCATAAAG